TCTATCTATCTATCTATCTATCTATCTATCTATCTATCTATCTATCTATCTATCTATCTATCTATCTATCTCTATCATCTCTATCTATCTATCTATCTATCTATCTATCTATCTCTATCCATCTATCTATCTATCTATCTATCTATCTATCTATCTATCTATCTATCTATCTATCTATCTACCTATCTCCTATCTATCCATCTATCCATCTATCCATCTATCTATCTATCTATCTATCTATCTATCTATCTATCTATCTATCTATCTATCTATCTATCTATCTATCTCTATCTATCTATCTATCTATCTTATCTATCTATCTATCTATCTATCTATCTATCTATCTATCTATCTATCTATCTATCTATCTATCTATCTATCTATCTATCTATCTATCTATCTATCTATCTAGTCTATCTATCTATCTATCTATCTATCTATCTATCTATCTACCTTGTTATCGAGTAATTTAACCAATGCATCAATATTTGAATAGATGACCGCGTCATCCGACTCCATTGTACTGCCACCACAGATCATAGACCTTTTGTAAAACATTATTTGTTTTCACTACAAATTAGACCATCTTATAAATTATAAAAATTCTTATTTTTTGTTTAGTCATTTTTTGAAAGAAGCTAAATACTATAAACCGGTTTAATAAATCATCTTCTAAAACAATAACAATAACAAACAATAAAATATAGTATGTTGGAGCTTGGTACTACTTAAAAAATACATATTTATTAATTTTTCTACCCATTCGAATCAAAACTCTAAAAAAGTAACTGGTTTCTTTTCTGTGTGTGTGTGTTCAAAAAATATAAAACAAAACTACACTATAAATTGTTTAATTTACCCGGATGCAAAATAAGAATGAAGACATCTTTCACTGATCTAAATTTAATTAAATTACACGAGATTTGTACGAATTGCGCGCGCTATTTTCTTTGCTACATACATATGTAGTATATATATACATACATAAGTATGTATGTATATATTCTTACTACATTAACTATAATAATCAAAAACTATAAAATGCGTAGAAATTTATTTAATTTGTTGTTTATGTATTTAGTTAGTCATACGCACAAAAAGGTATTAATCTTAAAAAGATCATTTACATGAATCACTTGCACACGCATGAACTGTAAAGATTCAATTGGTTCAGTTAAAATTAGTATGGTACTTCAAAACTAGTGATATTTTATAACATTTTAATGTTAATTTAAACATAAAGGGAATTGTAAAAAGGTTGAAATGGTTCATTTCGATCCATATCTATCTGTATTGAAAAGTGTCTGAAATTAGACATAAAATGTTTATATGGTGAAAAGAAAACTGAAAAATTGATAAAAATTTGAACAAATGGTTTGCAAGCAAATCGAATCCGAAGTCTTTTCTGAATTGCATATTCCAAATTTCAAATCTTCAAATTTACATACACACACACACAGAGGTGTGTACAGATTAATTAATTTAAATGAACCATGATTTCATATTAACAAATGATCTGCTATATGTATCTGTATTATAGGACTAACTTTACTTACAACATGCAATGAAAACAAATTTATTTATATCAATCCATCCCCACAAATACCGGCACTTAATCAAACATACAGACAGACATTAATACACTTATACAAGCTTGGACGTACAAATACATTTCTTATTTATATTTACGTTTTTTTTTTTTTTTTTTTTTCTTCCAAAAAGGCGTTAATTCAATTAAGGAGAAATAAATACAATTCTTAAGCCTAAAGTCACTATTTAATCTTATAAGTATGAGCAAATGAAAATTTGAATTTTATTGTACGACTACTAGTTGACTAGAGGCCTCAATTGTCAAATCGATTAACTCCATTTGAAAATTAGAAAAATAAAAAAATAGGATTACTTTATTGTGCATAACCGCTACTTTTGTAAAAATTCTAATATTTTTCAAAAATGTAGTTAATCAATTTTGCACATAAAGCCTCTATTTGCAAGTGAGAGTATAAATATTTAAGTAGTTGTCATATTATTTGGATATTATTGTGACGTTGTTGTTGTTTTTTTATTATACACAAATCTGTAAGATTTTATATACATTTTATTGTTTGTAAGTTTAGTTTAGATTAATAATGAAAGAAATTTTAAATTTATTTTTATTATTTTTTAGAGAACAATTGTATTTGGAAATTTTTAAATTTCGTTATTTAATACGTATTAAATATAGAATTGTTGTTGTTATTTTATTAGTATTTTTAAATTTTCTTTAATATTAACTTTCATTAAAAGTTAATAACCTTTGTAGTGTTGATATCATTTATCACAAACAATTTGGAAGTAATTGTTTAGAAAGACAGAGGGTTTTGCGTATGATATACACATTCACACAATAAACAAGTCTATAGTCTGGACTATAGTCTAGTCTATAGTCTGGACTATAGTCTAGTCTATAGTCTGGACTATAGACTAGACTATAGTCACGACTATTGACTAGACTATAGTCTAGTCTATAGTCTAGTCTATAGTCTGGACTATAGTCTAGTCTATAGTCTGGACTATAGACTAGACTATAGTCACGACTATTGACTAGACTATAGTCAAGACTATTTACCAGACTATAGACTAGACTATAGTCCAGACTATAGACTAGACTATAGTCCAGACTATAGACTTGGCTATAGTCCAGACTATAGACTAGACAATAGTCAAGACTTTAGACTAGACTATAGTCCAGACTATAGATTAGACTATAGTCCGGACTATAGACTAGACTATTGACCAGACTATAGACTAGACTATTGACCAGACTATAGACTAGACTATAGTCCAGACCATAGTCCAGAATATAGTCCCTACTATAGTCCAGACTATAAACTAGACTATAGTCAAGACTTTAGACTAGACTATAGTCCAGACTATAGATTAGAATATAGTCCGGACTATAGACTAGACTATTGACTAGAATATAGATTGGACTATAGTCCAGACTATAGTCTAGTCTATAGTCTGGACTATAGTCTAGTCTATGGCCTGGACTATAGTCTAGTCTATAGTCCAGACTATAGTCTAGTCTATAGTCTGGACTATAGTCTAGTCTATAGTCTGGAATATAGTTTAGTCTATAGTCTGGACTATAGTCCAGTCTATAGTCCAGTCTATAGTCTGGACTATAGTCCAGTCTATAGTCCAGTCTATAGTCTGGACTATAGTCCAGTCTATAGTCCAGTCTATAGTCTGGACTATAGTCTAGTCTATAGTCTAGACTATAGCCTAGTCTATAGTCTAGACTATAGCCAAGTCTATAGTCTGGACTATAGTCTAGTCTATAGTCTGGACTATAACGTAGTCTATCGTCTGGACTATAATGTAGTCTATAGTATGTAATATAGTCTAGTTTATAGACTGGAATATAGTCTGGTCTATAGTCTGGACTATAGTCTAGCATATAGTCTGCACTATCCTATAGACTATAATCTGGCCTATAGTCTAGTCTATAGTCTGGTCTATAGTCTAGTCTATAGTCTGGACTATAGACTAGTCTGTAGTCTAGTTTATAGTCTGGATTATAGTCTAATCTATATTCTAGTCAATAGTCTAGTCTAATCTATAGTCCGGACTATAGTCTAATCTATAGTCCGGACTATAGTCTAATCTATAGTCTGGACTATAGTCTAGTCTAAAGTCTTGACTATAGTCTAGTTTATAGTCTGGACTATAGTCTAATCTATATTCTAGTCAATAGTCTAGTCTAAAGTCTTGACTATAGTCTAGTTTATAGTCTGGACTATAGTCTAGTCTAAAGTCTTGACTATAGTCTAGTTTATAGTCTGGACTATAGTAGGGACTATAGTCTGGACTATAGTAGGGACTATAGTCTGGACTATAGTCTGGACTATAGTCTAGTCTATAGTCTGGTCAATAGTCTAGTCTATAGTCCGGACTATAGTCTAATCTATAGTCTATAGTCTGGACTATAGCCTAGTCTATTGTCTGGACTATAGTCTAGTCTATAGTCTGGTCAATAGTCTTGACTATAGTCTAGTAAATAGTCGTGACTATAGTCTAGTCTATAGTCATGTCTATAGTCTAGTCTATATTCATGGCTATAGTCTAGTCTATATTCTTTACTATAGTCTAGTCTATAGTCTAGTCTATAGTCTGGACTATAGCCTAGTTTTTAGTATGGAATATAGTCTGGTCTATAGTCTGGACTATACTATAGTCTATAATCTGACCTATATGGTCTATAGTCTAGTCTATATTCTAGTTCATAGTCTAGTCAATATTCTGTACTATAGTCTAGTCTATAGTTTGGACTATATATTCTGTACTATATTCTGTACTATAGTCTAGTATATACTCTGGACTGAAGTCTAGTATATACTCTGGACTATAATCTAATCTAATCTATATTCTGGGCTATAGTCTAGTCTTTAGTCTGGACTATAGTCAAGTCTATAATATAGGCTATAGTAGAGTCTATATTCTAGTTTATAGTCTAGTCTATATTCTGTACTATAGTCTAGTCTATAGTTTGGACTATATTCTACTCTATATTCTGGATGATAGTCTAGTATATACTCTGGACTATAGTCCAATCTATATTCTGGGCTATAGTCTAGTCTTTAGTCTGGACTGTTGTTTAGTCTATAGTCTGGACTATGGTCTAGTATATTATTTAGACCATAGTCTACTAATAATCTATAGCCTGGACTATAGTATATTTAGTCTAGTCTATATTCTGGATTATGTTCAAGTCTACAGTCTAGTTTATAGTTTGAACTATAGTCTAGTTTATAGTCTGGACTTAAGTCTAGTCAATAGTCTATATTTAGGGCAATAACTTGGACTATAGTCTAGTATATTTTCTGTGCTATAGCCTAATCTATTCTCTGGACTATAGTCTAGTCTATGGACTGGCTATGGACTGACTTTAAAATATAAATTAACCTCTAAATATAATAGTCGTGTAACAGAAGTTTTAATTTTTATTTTATTTTTCTTTTCAGGTTTTTAGACAAATTATTTACTAAACAAATATTAGAAGGATGCTCGAAATAACAAAAAGTTTTTATAAATTTAGCACAGATGGACATGGACTTTTACAATGAACATATACTAACAGATTTGGGTAAGTTTATAATATACTAGTCTATAGTCTGTAAATTTCAAAAAATTTCAATATTTGATTACCAGCTATACTAAGTAGATCGATTCGCTAGACAACATATCTTTTAAATAAGAACATTTCCATTTTTAAATCTAAATAACTATATATTCTTGTATTTCTTAACAAATTCACCGATATAGATCACTTATTGAAACCGTTTTATACGGCCTACTTTTCTTTCCCTATGAGTTAATTGTAATAACGTAGATCATCACGATCTTCACTGGTGATCATAATTTATTATATTTACATTGTGCAAAATATTTCCTTTAACCTGATTTTGCTTATAAGCCTATTAAAATATTTAATAATAAAATGAATCAATTAAAAGAAAAGTCAATAAATAATAATATTTTTTTCCAATTTTATTTATAAATTATTTCGTGCTGTTGGTAATTTTTTTTGTGAAATAAATTTATAGTTTGTTACATTTTATTAATTTTTATTTAATATTTTATAACTCTATATATCGTGTATAAAATTTGCTAAGCAACAGTTTTTTTTTTATTTTTGTTTTCTACCAAAACTATGACTTACATTTAAATGTAGTATTTTAACATAAAAGTCAGAGCTGTAAAGTAAAATTTTTAGTAAATTAAGGTGTAATTTCAATTATAGGATTTCAATATAGACACCTTATTAATCAGATTTCATTCCTATTCGGAAAAAGACGTCAAAAAGTTATTAATTTATTTATTAATATCTTATTGTCAATTAAATGACAAGTAATGATCTTAAGTTATTCACACATTTTTTTAATCAAATACAAATACAAAACTCTGACGCCAACAGGTTTGATTCACTCTAGATAAATACTTAAACAAGTCAACGGTTTACAGATCTGTTTTGTAAATAATATTAAATTTATACATAAATATATGTATTTATGTACATATACATAAATATTTGTGTAAAATAATTACTCATACAAAGATATTTACATTTTTGCCTAAAACTGTCAAACCATTGCACAGTGAGACCAATAGGTCTAATTTGATATAACTGTCTGATCGAATTATACATAAGTATATGTGACTTAAGACTTTCTATTTATAGTTCACCCTAAAAACTGGACTATAGTATGGAATATAGACAATAATATAGACAAAACAATTGCTTAAGTCCAGTCTATCGACTAGACTAGATTATGAACTTGACTATAGTTCAGAATATAGACGCGACTATAATCCAAAATTTAGAATAGACTATAGGCTAGAGTACAGTTCTGAACATATACTATTATATATATTTCAGATTATAATCCAGACTACAGACTAGACTATAGTCCAGACTATATATACACCATCTTACACACTATAGACTAGACTAAACCAGACTATTGAATACACATAGTCCAGACTGTAGACCTCATAATAAGAATACTCTATAGTCCAAGCTATAGACTAGATTAATGACCAGATTATAATCCAAACTACAGGCTAGATAATAGAACAGACTATTGACAAGACTATAGATTATACTAAATTCCTGACTATATACCTGACTATAGTCCGAACTATAGACTAGTCAATTGATTAGACTATAGTTCAAACAAATAGATTAAACTACATATAGTATAGACTTAAGACCCGACTTCAGTCCAGGCTAGACTATAGTCCAGACTATAGACTATACTGTAGTCCAGACTACAGACTAGACTGCCGTCCGACTATAGAATATACTATAGTCCAGACTATAGACTATACTATAGTCCAGACTATAGACTATACTATAGTCCAGACTATAGACTATACTATAGTCCAGACTATAGACTATACTATAGTCCAGACTATAGACTATACTATAGTCCAAACTATAGAGTATACTATAGTCCAGACTATAGAGTATACTATAGTCCAGACTATAGAGTATACTATAGTCCAGACTATAGACTTTACTATAGTCCAGACTATAGACTTTACTATAGTCCAGACTATAGACTTTACTATAGTCCAGACTATAGACTATACTATAGTCCAGACTATAGACTATACTATAGTCCAGACTATATTATAGTCCAGACTGTAGACTGTACTATAGTCCAGACTATAGACTATACTATAGTCCAGACTATAGACTATACTATAGTCCAGACTATAGACTATACTATAGTCCAGACTATAGACATACTATAGTCCAGACTATAGAGTATACTATAGTCCAGACTATAGACTATACTATAGTCCAGACTATAGACTATACTATACTCCAGACTATAGACTATACTATAGTCCAGACTATAGGACTATACTATAGTCCAGAATATAGACTATACTATAGTCCAGACTATAGACTATACTATAGTCCAGACTATAGACTATACTATAGTCCAGACTATAGAGTATACTATAGTCCAGACTATAGAGTATACTATAGTCCAGACTATAGACTTTACTATAGTCCAGACTATAGACTTTACTATAGTCCAGACTATAGACTTTACTATAGTCCAGACTATAGACTTTACTATAGTCCAGACTATAGACTTTACTATAGTCCAGACTATAGACTTTACTATAGTCCAGACTGTAGACTATAGTCTAAACTATAGTCCAGATTATAAACTAGGCTACTGTCCATACTACATTTAACATTGTAGTCGAGACTATAAACTACTATATATACTAGACTATAGTTTAGAATACAATCGAGACTATACTAGAATAAAGACTAATATAATAAAGACTAAAATATGGTCAATACTATAGACTATAATCGAGACTATAGTCCAGACTATAGACTATACTACAGTCCAGACTATAGACTTTACTATAGTCCAGAGTATAGATCATTCTATAGTTCAGACTATAGAGTATACTATAGTGCAGACTATAAACTATACTATAGTCCAGACTATTGACTATACTACTGTCCAGACTGTCGACTAAACTATATTCCAGACTATAGACTAAACTATATTCCAGACTATAGACTGAACTATATTCCACACTATAGACTATACTATAGTCCAGACTTTAGACAATACTATAGTCCAGACTATAGACTATACTATAGTCCAGACTATAGTACTATAGTCCAGACTATAGTACTATAGTCCAGACTATAGACTATACTATAGTCCAGACTATAGACTATACTATAGTCCAGACTATAGACTATACTATAGTCCAGACTATAGACTATACTATAGTCCAGACTATAGACTTAGCTATAGTCCAGACTACAGACTATACTATAGTCCAGACTATAGACTAGACTATAGACTAGACTATAGACTAGACTTTAGACTAGACTATAGACTAGACTATAGACTAGACTATAGACTAGACTATAGACTAGACTATAGACTAGACTATAGACTAGACTATAGACTAGACTATAGACTAGACTATAGACTAGACTATAGACTAGACTATAGACTAGACTATAGACTAGACTATAGACTAGACTATAGACTAGACTATAGACTAGACTATAGACTAGACTATAGACTAGACTATAGACTAGACTATAGACTAGACTATAGACTAGACTATAGACTAGACTATAGACTAGACTATAGACTAGACTATAGACTAGACTATAGACTAGACTATAGACTAGACTATAGACTAGACTATAGACTAGACTATAGACTAGACTATAGACTAGACTATAGACTAGACTATAGACTAGACTATAGACTAGACTATAGACTAGACTATAGACTAGACTATAGACTAGACTATAGACTAGACTATAGACTAGACTATAGACTAGACTATAGACTAGACTATAGACTAGACTATAGACTAGACTATAGACTAGACTATAGACTAGACTATAGACTAGACTATAGACTATACTATAGACTATACTAGACTAGACTATAGACTAGACTATAGACTAGACTATAGACTAGACTGTAGACTATACTATAGTCCAGACTATAGACTAGACTAAGTCCAGACTATAGACTAGACTATAGTCCAGACTGTAGACTAGACTGTAGTCCATACTATAGAATACACTGTAGTCCAGACTATAGACTAGACTATAGTCCAGACTACAGCCCAAATTATAAACTATGCTATTGTTCAGACTACATATTGTACAATAGTCAAGACCATAGACTATAATAAAGACGAGACTATAGACTAGAATACAGTGGATACTATAGACTAGACTATAGTCGATACTATATACTATATTTCAGATTATAGTACATGCTATAGACTACTATATAATGCAGACTAGTCAAGACTATAGTTTAAGACTATAGACTAGAGTAAACCCTATACTGTAGACTACAGACTGAACTATAGTCCACACTACAGACTGAACTATAGTCCACACTACAGACTGTACTGTAGTCCAGACTACTGACTATACTATAGTCCAGCTTTTCCTGACTATTAAAGATATATTGAAGATTTTCATTTTTTATTCTCTAACAATAAATACCACTGTGTACAGTACAATTTTGTAGTTGTTGCATGCAAAATTTGTATGTATTTGCATATATTGTAAATATGTATGTAGGTACATACATATAAAAAATAACAAAACGACAGGTTCTCTTTAAGACACACTTAACTACATACATGTACGATACCAACAGAATTTGTTTGATCAATAATTATATTTCAATAAGAAGAACCAGAATACAAAAAAATTGTAACCAGACCGAAAAGAAGAAAACAAATTTGCTTTGTCAATTCTGTACTAAATTTAAGAGTTCTGTTGCTTTTTCGGTCCCTCATTTCTAATGAAAAACCTTCTTAACGCGATAAGCTAAACACGAGACCAATAAAAACGCAAAAAAATACCAGTAAAGCAAATAAAATTATTAAAAAATTTAATTAAATTATTATAACAACAATATAAATAAATACATCAAAGAAATAATCAAACATAATTTTCAATTGAAATTACGATTAAATAAATTAATTGTGAAAAGCAGCGAAAACATTTGCAATTGTAATAAAAAAATGGAAAATTGAAAAAAATTCATTTAAATA